GGAGCCTGGGAGCCACTGTGGACGCCCAGCCACTGTGGTGGCCTGGCTGTCTGCTTACTCCCCAGGGCCCTGGGCCACCCCTGGAAACCCCAGGGGACCCTGCTCCTTTGGGAAACTGAGGCAGAAACGGGATCAGTGCGTGAGCAGAGGACAGGGCATTCCCTCCAAGGCCTGTCCCTCTGAACATGTAAGAGGCCCCGGTGACCACACGATGGCACTGGGTCTCCCCTCCCTCCCCACGGGGATTTGCACAGGTAACGTCCCAGGAAGGGGGCGCTCTGCCCCCCTCCCAACACTTGCCCGCCACAGGAGCAGCGAGGGGTGGGGAGGTAGCTGCTGGGTAAGCCCCTATTTTGGGGTCATCTCATCATATAACCGTTCCCGATGCCCACGTCGGACCTGGCGGTGTCGTTTTCATCAGAAGGAGCGTCTTCAGGCCCCGAGGCGCTGTCCTCAGGGTCATCAGAGTCCACCGTCTCCTCCGGGAGACAGACCACAGCGGGGGCTTCAGAGTCGTCCCCATCAGGGACCCTCACAAGCACGGAGTTCAAGTCCACATTGAAGAAGATCCGGTCCCCGGGGCTCTTGGTGGGGCCGCTGTCCTCCCTGGGAAAGGGGTCCGCTGGCCAGGTCCCCTCCTCCTCGGAGGCCTCACTTGTGTGCTGGGCCCCCCAAGTCCCCTCCTCCTCTGAGGCCCCACTCGTGCACTGGGCCCCCCAGGCCCCCTTCCCCTCGTAGGCCCCACTTGTGCGCTCGGCTGGCCAGGGCTCAGGCTCGGGCCCGGGTGCCATCAGGGACTCGGCTTCCTCGCTGCCCCCCAGGGTGGCCGAGGAGGGGGACTCCGGGCACAGAGCCCTGACTGCCAGCCCGTGCAAGGTGTAGCCCCCACCGCTGGCTCGGGGGGCGGCCTCCTCGTCCCCGTCGCTTTCGTCGTCATAGCTGTAATCCCACACCTTCCTCTTCCTGTGGATGTGAATGACCTCCGCCACGGCCACGGCCTCCAGGGGCGGCAGCTTGGGGAACGCCCAGATGGCCACGCCATCAAAGTTCTGGGAGGGGAGGAGGTGGGAGAGAATTGAGTATTTGTTTTTCATTTTTGCATGTAATGAAACTTTAATGATGGCCCTAGCCGGTTTTGCTCAGTGGATAGAGCACTGGCCTGCAGACTGAATGGTCCCAGGTTCGATTCTGGTCCAGGGCACATACCTCAGTGGCAGGCTCCTCCCTGGCCCAGGCCCTGGTCGGGGCTCGTGCAGGAGCCAACCAATCAGTGTTTCTCTCACATTGATGTTTCCCTCTGTCTTTCCCTCTCCCTTCCACTCTCTCTAAAATCAATGGAGAAATATCCTCGGGTGAGGATTAACAAAACAAAAACCTTAATGAGATGAACTGCACAGAGATGGAGGTGGTGATGGCAACAACGAAAATTACAGCGACCAGTTCTAGAATGTTTGCAGGCATGGCTGAGCACTTGACATTCATTTCCCCCTCACACCTGCTCCAGGAAGTAGGTTTACTGTTCTTTAAGAAAAATAGATATAGATATAGATAGATAGATAGATTTCAGAGAGGAAGAGAGAGGGGGAGAGAGAGAAACATCAATGATGAGAGAATCACTGATCAGCTGCCTCCTGCACGCCTCACATGGGGATGGAGCCTGCAACCCGGCATGAGTCCTGACCAGGAATTGAACTGTGACTCCTGGTTCATAGGTCAACGCTCAACCCCTGAGCCCCGCCGGCCGGGCTAAGCTTATTGTTCTTACCCTCATTTTACAGATGAGAAAATGAGGCAGACAGGTTAAGAAACTGGCTCAGGGCTCATGACCGGTGAGTGTGACCTGAGATTTGAACTAGGCCCTGGGGCTCAGCCCATGTCCGGGCCAGTTGTCCCTGCACCTGCCCCTCCCTGCACCTGCACCTGCCCCTCGCTGCCACCTGCATTCTGGCCGGAGATCCCAGTTCTGGAGGCCGAGACATTCTAGAGGGGTGTCAGGAAACTGGGTGAGGAGAGACCAAGGCAGCTGATTCCATTGGTGTCAGAGCCTCTGGACTGACCTTGAAAGGGTCTTGACGACTGAGACTGGGGCCCCGTCTAGTCCAGCCCTTAAAGACGCCTCCAGGACACGCAGGGGCGATTAAGGAGAACACAGGCGGGTGGGCGTACACTGTCGCCCGCGGACCACAGAGGGCTGGTGATGCGGAGGTGGGCACGGCTATCCGCAGGCCCGGGCCCCCGGCAGCACGCTCTCCCTGGTCCCCCACGGCCTGCTCCCCCGACCCAGCAGGGGTGGGTCTCCTACCGGGCTGTCCACCTTTTCCCAAGTGACTCACAGGAGCTCTTTCCGTAACCCAGATGCTGACTATCTGTTGGTTATGTCACCTGGACTGTCCCTGCCTGTGGTGTCATCATTTGCTCCCTTTACGATGACATTTGAGAAAAGGCGATTCTTCATTTTCATGTGAGAAAGCGTATTGGGGGTCCTCCTTTATGGTGCTTGGTTTCTGTGTCTGACCCTTCCTTACCCAGAGCCACAGAGAATCCCCGTGTTGCTTCTAAAACACGGCAGTCTTGCCTTTCCCATCACAGTGCAGGTGAAACCCCGCACAACCGCTGCCTCTCACAGGCACAGCCATGCCAGCTGAGCTCAAATACTAATGGGGATTAAAATCTCCAAAAGCACACTTACTGCCCAAATAAACCCTCCCTCAACCCACCCAAACCAATAAAACCAGCAAGAGGAAGAAGAGTACAATTTTATCAACTGTGGAGGAATATTTAAATATGCGGCTGTTAAAAGATTAGAAGTATAAGGTGAATGAGTTCAAACATCTATCTATATCTATATCTATATCTATCTCTATATCTATATCTATATAAAAGCCCAATGACGGGAACAGTGGAATGACCGGAACGACCGGTGGCTATGACACACACTGTGGCAGCCAACCACAATGAGATATTTCTGAATGGAAAAAAATCACAAAGCTAACATGGAAAGAAAGCAGTAGGCCTGGCTGGCGTGGCTCAGTGGTTGAGCGTCAGCCGGTGAACCGAGAAGGAGGTCACAGTTAGATTCTTGGTCAGGACACATGCCCAGGTTACAGGCTCGATCCTGATGTGGGCTCTGATTGGCTCCCCCGACCCCACCCCTGGCCAGCCCAGCCCCCAACACCCCAATTGGCAGTTAGATTCTTGGTCAGGACACATGCCCAGGTTACAGGCTCGATCAGGAGGCAGCCGATCAATGATTCTCTCTCATCAGTGATGTTTCTCTCTCTCTCAGCCTCTCCCTTCCTCTCTGAAATCAATAAAAATATATTTAAAAAAAGAGAAAGCAGTGGGATAGGGAAGACGATAAATGATGGGCAGCCGCAGAGGGGTCAGAAGACAGGAGGAGGTTTTAGAAACATGTACCACACCCAGCCTGGGCGATGCCTTAGGGAGCTCAGGGAAGAAGCCGGCCGGTTTCACTAACCACGAAGCCAACACAGAGGAAAGCATGTATGGGGGGCATCACCCGCAGGACAGAGGGACAGAAGGGTCCCAGGGACTGGTGAACGCCAGCAGAGTTTTGGAGGAGTGCGCACACCGGTGTTGGCACTGGCGGCCTAAGTCCCCTCCTTACCTTCTTATCAGATAAATCCACTATGTGTGCAGGCGCCACTGCAGTAACGACAAATAAGAAGGTCATCTGTATAAACATGGTCACTGCATTCTTTTTTTTTTCACTTAAAAAAATATTTTTATTGAATTCAGAGAGGAAGGGAGAGGGAGAGAGAAACATCAGTGATGAGAGAGAATTATGGATCGGCTGCCTCCTGCACGCCCCGCACTGTGGATGGAGCCCGCAACCCGGGCCTGTGCCCTGCCTGGGAATCGAATGGTGACCTCCTGGTTCTTAGGTCAATGCTCAACCACAGAGCAACACGGCCGGGCCACTACGTTATTCTTCATGGCCAAAAAAATGAAAGGAAAAGAAATGAAAAGGGGATCCAGGCCGTGCTCCCAGCTGGGATATGACCAAGGGAAAGGCGATACATTCATGCCAATCGGACTACGGTGTGATCCCTAGAAGCAACACGTGGGCCAAGTAGAAAGGAAGACAGAAAGTGCAAAATGTGTGTTTCCGAGGAGGGAACAGAACCCCGGGCCCGGGACACCTCGGGGTCTTGAGAAAAGGGGACTTCCTTCTGTGCAAACACGCAAGTACAGGAGAAACGTTCTTAAGCGAAAATAAAAAAGACAGAAATTACAAAACAACAACTACATACCAGCACTTTGGGGAACTTGCTGCGTAAGCAAATGTAACCGATCCGCTTCAGCACTGTGAGGGCGCCCCCGACGACGGCGGCCATCACAAACAGACTCATCAGGGCTCCGATGCTGGCGGACTCTGAGGACACTGTGGGTGAACAATTAAATAATTTTATTTCAAAATAAATCCCACAGGTGCGCGCCGGTGGGGCAATCGCCCCTTGGCCTGGTGGCGAGGGAGATGTCGAAGGAGCAGTAGCTGGAAAGGCTCTTGTAAAACGTATTTTTATTGATTTCAGAGAGGAAGGGAGAGGGAGAGAGAGATAGAGACATCAATGATGAGAGAGCATCATGGATTGCTGCCTCCTGCAGGCCCCCCAACTGGGGATCGAGCCACACCCCAGGCCTGTGCCCTGACCGAGAATCGAACTGCGACCTCCTGGTTCGTAGGCCGACACTCAACCACGGAGCCATGCTGGCCGGGCGCTTCCACTTTAAACTTACGTTCTGTGACAGCTCTGTCCAATACGGCAGCCCTGAGCCACACGTGATGCGACGACTTAAATTTATTTGATCAAAACGGAAAATACCCCTCGGCGTCTGAGTCACATGTCAGTGTGTGCCACAGGCGGGGAGAAGTGGGCGATGGGGTTCTGTCTGAAATCAACAGCTGGTCGCCCTAAGGTGGACTTGGGTCATGCCAGGACCCCAAGTCTGGGCTCTGCTTAACTCTCTCTGTTCTGCTTTGAGTTCCCCCTTAGAATCTTGTCCAGCCCTGACTGGTGTGGCTCCAGCCCGTGAACGAAGGGTCCTGGGTTTGATTCCAGTCCAGGGCACGTACCTTGGTTGCAGGCTCCTCCCTGGACTCCTCCCCTGGTCAGGGCGCATGCAGGAGGCAACCGATCGATGCGTTTCTCTCATATCAATGTTTCTGTCTTTCTCTCTCTCTCTAAAAATCAATGGAAAAATATCCTCGGATGAGGATTAAAAAAAAAAAAGAACTGAATTTAATCTCGATTCCTTGACATAAAAGTGTTCCCATCGCAGGAGGGTTTCAGACCTTATGAAGGTAGATATCGGACCATCCCCGTGGCTCGGCGACAGAAGTGTGACTCGCCACCCAGTGGAGACTGACCCCCGAAAGCCCACTGGCCCCGTGTCTCTGGTGGAAGAGAACGCAGGGCTCTGGCCTGCAGGGTCTTGCCCCCCCGAAGGAAGCAGAGTGCGGATGTGTGAGGCCTGGCATACCTGACTCCGCTCGGGGTAGGAGGCGGGCACACTTCCAGGGAGATCTCAGTAGTTTAGACAGATTCTCAGACTTCAAATAAACAGACACACAGTAGTTCATGTTTGGAATGAGCTTGTCGATGACATAAGTGAAATTTCCAGTGGTGCGTTCATCTATTTTGAGTAGATGCTGTAAAATGAAGCAAAAACAAAAGATCAGTTAGACTTGGCGTAGAGCAGTGGTTCTCAGCCTTCCTAACGCCGCGACCCTTTAACACAGTTCCTCATGTTGTGGTGACCCCAACCATAAAGTTATTTTCGTTGCTACTTCATCACTGTCATGTTGCTACTGTTATGAATCGTCATGTAAATATCTGATATGCAGGATGTGTTTTCATTGTTACAAATTGAACATAATTACAGCATAGTGATTAATCACAAAAACAATATGTAATCATAGATGTGTTTTCCGGTGGTCTTAGGCGACCCCCGTGAAAGGGTCGTTTGACCCCCAAAGGGGTGGTGACCCACAGGTTGAGAACCGCTGGCTTAGAGTTTTATTGAGAAGCAAGACTTGAGGACGTCTTTGGGGTGTGGCTTTCAGGTCTCACATCGGGATAGAAGGCTCATACGCTTAGCAAGAAAAGGGGTTCATTCGCCACCTGGGACGAGCCGTTTATCACAAAACGACATGTGCGCGTACACGCACTCACATGTCTAAACTATGAAATCTCATTGTACAGACGAGAGAAAGCCTCAGTGAGGACCACAGGTCTCCACGAAGTCATTTTTGCAGCCAACCTTATCTTGCCATCCCAGAGTCTTGATGTATTAATGGTATCTATCCACTCTCCATTCCAGGAAGTGCTTTCATTAACATGAACTCACGGACCATCAGAACAGTCTGCAAACCAG